TGTAAGACTTGAGGTTCTCACAGCGGTGAATATGAAGATTTCTGTCTTCTGGGTTGTTGCGCTGTGTAGTCTGGTCGATGTTAACCAACGTTTCAGAGGTCATACTGCCTCCGTCATCAGGGCGGTGAATATGTAGATTTCTGTCTTCTGGGTTGGTAAACATCGACCAGACTACACAGTGCAACAATCCAGAAGACAGAAATCTTCAAAGATTAACATTTATAGGAAGTATCTGAGGCTGTCATGGCAGTGAATACAAAGATGGTTGTCTTCTAGGTTATAGTGATGAGGGAACAGACCTCTGAAACCTTTCTAAACTGCTCCCAGTCTACGTGGCGCTACAACCCAGAAGACAGCCATCAACATAGGAGTAGGAAGATAGTGTCTGGCCTTCCCACATAAATATTACTTGCTTATGTAACTCGTTTGGTTGAAGTATGTTAACAAATCTAGTGTCAAGCCCTGTTTTACTATTGGAACGAGTGATTTAACTTTTATTATAATTTGATATTCCATCTTATAAGCCACTGTTGTCTTGCCTTTGATCTGTTAGATCATGGGGAAGTAATGCTACTTAGCCAGGCATCGTAGCAAGTTGTATAGCCCGTGAGGAAGAACATGAAGTGAGCATCGTGGACAAGTGTAGACTTGTTGTGAACCTTCTAAATAGTAATTTTACAACAAGATGGGGCATCAGCTTATTATGCTGTTGACGTTTCTTCAACACTATTGCACACACTGACAGGCCTAAAAGCGCACTGGGCAATGAATGCAGTTTTGTGCTGGTAATGACGGTAACCATGTTGCTTGGGTGACAGATTGCTACTTGGTGAGTTGTATGACATCTGTTAATTCTTTGCATTGATGTATTATGTTCCTTTGTAATTAACAGTGTTTCCATACTAAACCGCTACTCTTATGTTATGCCCATACACCATCCAATCATGACCACTGGCCATGCGTGCACAGTAATGAGAAGCTCGGAGCAGAGTCCTTGAGAAGTTAATGATATAATCATCTAGTCTAAAATTTCCCTGCATTTTGCATTTATGGAACCCAAAGGCTTTACTATGTTCACAAGAGCCCAACATCAGTCTTTATTTCAAGCCAGATGAATTCAGTCCACACTGTATTTCCCAAAGAACCTTTTTAGTATTATCTTTCCTCCTATGTCTGTCTTCTGAGAGGTATTTTATTTTCAGGCTTCAAAACCAAAAATTTTATATGCATTTCTAATTTCCTCCATTCGTGCTACATGCTTTGCCAGTGTTATCCTTGATTTGATCACTAATAATGTTTGGTGAAGAGCGCAAACTATAGAACTCCTCATGCAGTCCTCTCCAGCTCCCATCACTTTACCCCTCTTAGGTCTGAGTATTCTCCTAAGTGTCCTGTTCTCAAACATCCTCAGTCTGTGTTCTTCTCTTATTGTGAGAGACCAGGTTTGACACACGTACAAAACAGTAGGTAAATTTGTCATTTTATATATTTTAGTCTTTACATTTTTAGATTTCTGATGCCAAGACAAAGAATTGAACTGCACAGTACAAAGTGTTCCCCCAAATATAGTCTGCTTGTTGTTTCTTCATGATTGCAATTCTGATTTGTTATTGTCATTACAAAATATTTTTAAATGATTTATTAGCTACATTTATATAATTATTTTGTCCTGTAGTCTGGTGATGAGACATGAACATACTTGGTCTTCTCAGCATTTACTCTTTGAACACCTTCCTTACTATAATGTTTTTCAGCGGAATTGACGGCTGAGTCGTGTTCTGCTCTTTGTGAGTGACCAATCAGCGCAAAGGAGGTCTGTTGGTAAGCAGCTAGACCTCAGTCTGTTGAGGAACCACGCGATAGAAGCCTCGGCTGGTGCACTGCGTTATTGCCAGTTATCACGTCTTCTTTGCGTAGTGTTGTAACCATTCACTGGAAACCAATGTTCCACGATGCTACATGTGTTTCTCGCCCCTGTGATTGGTGCACACTTCAGCTGCCAATTCCGCTGAAAACTGTTATAGCATCTAATACAGCTGTGTATTTCTTTATGATATTTATGTTTGCACCCAATAATTAACATTGTTAGCGTTTACCAGAAGTTGCTGTGTCCAATTCAATCCACCGAATGAGTCATGCTGTCACCATCAGCCCCCTTTAAAATGTTGAGCATCAGGCACACTTGATTGTTGTCTTCTGTCTGTCAAGATTCATTCAATCTGATTGTTTTGTAGTGAAGAGAAGTCCAAGTATATTTATGAATTTTGCAATGTGGAGACATTGTACTCTTGACAGCTAGAGTTTTTTGTGAAATCTCATTCCAGTTGGAAATAATTTTTTCCTCCCCACCTTATCATCGTGATTTAAGACTTTTGCCCTCTGACCCCAGGTCCAGGTAAGTCAGTTTGATCCTTTTATCTTTTAAGTGGCCAACCTCTGTCTTTTCTCCCTTTAGGATGTTAGTGAAACAGCTTCTGAAGAATTCACTAAGTTGGCAATCTTAAAATTTGTTCTAAGTATTTCTGTTGGTATTGTTTACTTCCTCTCCAAGGTTGACTTTATTTGGTTCTTGTCTAATATCAATGCTCCTTTTTTAATCCATTCTGTAACCTGCCAGTAATCTAATTTTGGAAGTTTCAGTTTGTTGAAGCAATTGTTTAATTAAAGTCCAGCATTTAATACCATATATGAAAGTAGTACCAGAACTTTAAAGTATTATAAGATTATCTTTACTGAGATTTATTAGGCAGTGTTTGTTTAATTGTGTGATATAAGTAATTAAACCTTCATAATTTTTTTGTAGAACATAATTTGTGTTACTGCCAAATTGACAGCCATGATAAAGTTTGTAACCTGACTTCCCTATCCGTGCATAACAGAACTTTCACACGATATTTAGGGAATTGAACAACAGCTGTTTTTTTAATTAACTAATTTATTTTTAGTAGGCAGATACATATTGAAAACACTAATATATCAGTGGCCTCTTAGTATCATAAATGATATCATATTAGTAACAAACTCTACTGTCGTATCTTCTGATATGATCCCGGTATGTTTGAAAAAAACATGTTCCTAAGTGATGATCAGCATTATGATGTCCATACACCCACAAAGATTGCTGCTGATTCAATGTTATTATTGTCCTGTCTGACTTCTGTACTTCCACTAAATCTAACTCATGATGTTATCTGGATCGCTGGGTGTTCAGACCTTTCCCAGTATAAAAAACACGGTGCTTCATGAACTGAATTTGTCATCTTCAGGTTTTATTGAAGGGGGCACCTACTCTGTGGGGTCTGTTACAATGAGATAGTCTTAGTTACTGGCCAATCAAGGTCAAAACAATTACATGTGTATAAGTACCTAAGATGACCGCCACGATGGTCTAGCGGTTAGAACGCTGGCCTTGTAATCCTGGGGTCTCGGGTTCGATTCCCGGCGGTGCCCGAATTTATAACTTGTGTTGGGCAAGGCCGTGGTCTAGGCAACACGGAGTTTTCTCCAGGGGCTTCCCCGGTTTCTCCGTGGCATCCCATTCACACACAGAAGAAGGCAATGGCAAACCACTTCTGGATCATCTGCCAAGAACGTATATGAACAGGTCCCAGTCCGAGAAAAGGATGGAAGGATCCTGTTCATATGGACCTGTCGTCAGACAGAACACTAAATAATAATAATAAGTACCTAAGATCAGGTTATGTCATTAGCATATAATAAGACCAACAATACAAATTATAAGAAAGCATGTGTATATCAAATGGAAAATGTGGAAATGGAAATGAAAATACATCAAACCAAAACCACCCAATGCAGGAAAAATACAAAATATTATCTCCTCTACCGCATACATCTGGTAACACCATCTGTGACCCAAGAATACAGTCCTATATACAAAGCCATGGAAGTACTCAGAAGAATCCTTGAGAGTTGGCAGCCTCCTTGCTAGGGAAGGGGATCCAAATTGGAGAAATTTAAAAGCTAGGCTGGCTGAAGGAATTTGTTAGATACACCATATGGTCCGCTTCCTTGTATTTGCTGTATCTGCTATTATTCTCAACTTCCAAAATCTTAATTTCATCCTATTTTACCCTATGGGCATGCTAGGCTGATTTTGATTTTTTTAGAAGACGTATGGCAGAAGCTCTGCTATTTAGGCTCTGAACTGTCCCTCCTTTGGCATGTGGCAAATGATTTGATTTGAGGTTTAGGTAGTGGCCAGTATGGGTGCGTTTTCTATAAACTTAAGTGGTCGGTGTCAACTCCTTTCTGATAACCAGAATATCTAGAAAAGGGAGCACACTGTCTGTCTACATGTAGCAACTTGAGATCTGCTTAAGAGATTTTTATTTAGTTATATGTTGGGGAGATTTACTAAAATTTTCCCAGGCTTGGATGCTTTGGTTCTGCATTGAGATGCTACATGCTTTTTGTATTAGAAGAGAGCTGTTGATGTCATTTGCATGTGTTCATATTTCAGGGTTCGAGCTTGTGATATAATGCAGGAATTAACGTTAGATATGCTCTAGTGACCTGTGGGTTCTTACAGTCAACTTCTGTATTATACTGGTTTCTGTGCTCTGCTGGCAGATTGTGACCATTCAGGGTCACAGAAAGCAATTTAAAGGTGTATGAGATAAGATTAGAGAATGCAAAATGTAGTATTTCAAACACAAAAGACATTTGAGGTTGATGATTGTAGGGGTATTTTAGAGGTTATGTATTCCTGTTCACTCTAAAAGAGGTCAGTCAGAAGTAAGTGTTCTTGTTTATCTTTCCATATGAATACACTCAAATTGGCATAAATAATTCCTTTCAAAACTCCTCACTCAACTACATTATTGTATCATTTAATTTGATGCTGTACAAACTTATCATGTGATGTTCAGTATTTACATAGAATTAAATATTTATTTTAAAAATCTTTTAGTAAATTCTTCAAGGACATTTTCAAGGTGCAGTGCTTAATGTTTGAAGGTTTTCAATTTGAACTGTTGGAATGACTGACATTTTCATGGTTCTCTTCAGTCTCACCAAGCATATGCCTAGGTATTGGCTTCAGACAATACTACTGCTTTTTTCCCTCCACTTCACAATGCATGATATTACTTATCTCCTTTTGACACCAGACAACCTTTGCAGTTGATACATTGTTATATTAAGTAACTTGCAGACTGAAACATATCTTCTTAAATATGTTATTAAAGAGGTTCATTATCTGGACAAGGTATTATCTGGTACTGCTTGCTATCATTGTGTGTTTGTGAGTGTGTGTGCATCCCTTGCATGTGTAAGTGTTTTCACTAAATCAGTGCAAATTTTACTGCTTGTCTTGTACTTGATGTGAATTGCATTACAGTTCTGTCACTTCCTTTGACCTGCGAGGATCTTCAGTGAAGCTGCCAGAGAAGTACCACTCATCATGCATTGTTTTGTAATTGTGGTAGTATTGCTGATCGTCACACAGATGACCCTGAGGGTAGAACAACTTCATTCCTCCAATTGGGAACGTGGATACAGCTGCAGTAACATCTGGTAAGTTGGCAGCATGTTTTGAGTCTGGTGACTTGAAATTGTGCTGTAAACAGTGAAAATTAAATTGTTTTTGTTTATAAATTTGTGTGTCTACTTGTCTATTTACTGGAATGTTCACTGTCAAGTTCTGGTCTATGCTGATGATATTAATTTATTGGGTGGAAACATGAATATCATAAAAAAAAACAGTAGGTTTATTAGATGCGAGTAACTTGAAAGTGGTCAAGGAAATCTAAGTATTATATATATATTCATGTGTCATCACCAGACTAGAGGACAAAAGCATTGTACAGCAGGTTTTTAAATATGACTCCTGAGGGTGCATGAGAGGAAATGAGGGAGGAGTTGTATGAATTGAAGGTCTAGGTCCAGTAGGTCTTTTAGGTAGGGGCATGCTACAGCTATAAACCTATTGCAAAATGTTGGTCTCACCTGATATTTTATTTTTAGTACCTTGGTACACTATCTTTGTATGAAGAAAGAGTTGAATCTTGAAAATACAACTTCAAATATACAAAAACTAAATGTTTTTGTCAGCTATGTATTTTTTATCACTGTCCATGCTCAGAAGAGCAGTGCCAGCTATTGAAGGCAGACCAGATGTTTCACCATCATCTGATTCATCACCAATGTCTGTACTACTGGCATCAGTGTAATCTGCATGTATTTGCGCATATTTCATAAGTAGGGTTTGAGGTTTTTCACAGTGGTGAGTCCAAAGATGGCTGTCTTCTGGGTTGTAGCGCCATGTAGTTTGGTAAAAGTTTACCAACATTTCACAGGTCTTTGCTGCCTCCAACGGTGCTTTAGTCACAATGCGAAGACACTTGGATCGCAACACTTCCGGATATGGCAGCTGGCAGCTGACCTCCAGATCAGGCACGCTTAATCCATCATAGGACGGATGAGCTTCTTATAGAGCAGCACACCGTTCCCGATGGACAGGCAGTGGCATGCCCCCCACCCTGCTCCTGTTGGTTCCCAGGCCCTCACATGATTCTGTCTCCACTCGCCACCGGTCAGACCAAGTTATCTGCCTTGAATGTAGGTTTCCTATATCTTTAACCAATTCCACGCACATGTCCTTGATAACGGAGGTAGCATGGACCTCTGAAATGTGGTAAACTTCTAACAGAATACATGGTGCTACGGCCCAGAAGACAGCCATCTTAGTGCATAATTCAATTACCATGTTCCATCAAATTCATCCAGCTACAGAGATGTTGCTAATAGATGATTACGCTGCAGTTAATAAGTTCTTTGCAAATGAAGTTAAAGTAGATGGACTGTTGTGTTAAAGTTGAACAATTCAGTACATTAGCTTCATCATGTATGGTTTTTCATCTTACTGTTTTCAGGTCTGTATCACTCTCCTTCAGAAAATTATAAATGTGAGTGAGGTTTCCATATTAAGTAACTGGAGTATTCAATTTTCATATATTTTCTTGTTGTGACAGTTTCAACCTGTGTTCTGTAGAGTGGAGTTAACCATTAGTTAAGGAGTTAATTTGAATTCTTAGAGGTGTGATTTTGAAGCCAAATTTTACGTATATTTCACCATCAGATGGATAATTAACTATAGAAATCTGTTGCCATACAAAATTTTACAATTCTGCCTTAAATGGCACCAGTATTGTTTCGGCCCCAGTAGTTTGTATGTCTGTCACGTTGGTATCATTGAAGACTGGAAATTGAAATGTATGGAGGTGATGTAGTCAACATTGGCATAGTATTTCATACAAGTTCTATAAAGATTGAGGAATTGGTTTGACCAGACACATCTACAACATCCACATGGGACAGGAGACTTATTTTCTGTGTGTACACTAAGACCAAACCACATAAATTGCATTTGGTTAGCACTAAACAACTTACTAATTTCCATGGACCAGAATTCTTAGCTAGTCAAGGAATTCCCTCACACTATAAAATACGAAGGTACGTTACCATGTTCACAAGAGCCTGCCACTGATCCCTATCCTAAGCTAGATGATTCCAATTCACATCCCCAAACTTAACATTAATGTTATCCTCCAACCTATGCCTAAGTCTTCCGAGTGGTCTTATCTGTTCAGGCTTTGCAGCAAAAATTTTGTATGCATTTCTAATCTCTCCATGTGTGCTACATGCCATGCTTTGTCTCATCTTTCTTGACCTAATAATATTTGGCAAATAGTACAAATTATGAAGCTTCTCATTGTGCAATATTCTCCAGCATCCCACCACTTCATTTCCCTTCATCAGCTGAGTACGCTAAGGCAAACGTGGCAGAGCTTTACGACAGGATGGTTAAGCACATTGGAGTGTGGCTTACATTAAGGATGCCAGTGCATGCTGGGGACATGGCTTCTAGGGTCGTGATGGTTGATGTTCCATTGTAGCCTGCTGCATCTGTTGTCCATATTGGGCTCGTGGTCTTTGACATCTGAAACATGGTAATTTAAGTGTTAATAACACTGCAGTGGGAGGTCTACTGGTTAGGAGAAATTCAACATAGTACCATGCAGTGAGTTATACTGGGCAGTGCAAGTTTTCCATGATCTGTAGAGAGAAGCATTTGTCAAACACTTTGCTGTTATCTGTGGTAGGGAACATGAGTCAGTTGATTTTGCTGCGTTATTGAAGCAAATTGTTTTCTGGATATTAACCATCGTCCAAGATTAAATAAAATCAATAAAAAACCACGACGTTTCGGAGATGGGAGTCTATCTCCGTCTTCAGGTAAAATGTACTCTTTTGGGCCCAATCGATAGAGCTAATCCCTATCTCCAGAGATATGTCTGCAAGATAGTTTTCAAGTGCATTCAAAGGAACACAGATTGCAGGTGTTTGAGAACCGGGTGTGGCGGAGGATATTTGGGCCTAAGAGGGAAGACGATGGGGTCTGGAGAAAACTGCATAATGACGAGCTTAAAAATCTGTACTCCTCCCCCAGTATTGTCAGGGTGATTAAGTCGAGAAGAATGAGATGGGCTGGGCATGTAGCGTGCATGGATGGGACAAGAGGTGTGCACCGGGTACTGTTGGGAAGCCTGAGAGGAAGAGACCTCTGGGGAGACCTAGATGTAGATGGGAGGATAATCTCAGGCGGGATCTATGGGAGATAGGAGTTGAAGGAGACTGGATTTTGTTGGCCCAGGACAGGGTCCGGTGGAGGGCTTTGGTTAATTCGGTGATGAATCTTCAGGTTGAGTAAGTCATCTAGTTAGTTAGTTAGTTATTATGTTTTCAAACTGATAGAAATGCTTATGTTTTTCATTCTACACAGGTCTTTCCTACTGCATGTGAACCCTGAACATTGGTTGGCAGTGCAAAAAATGTGTGGAGGCAGTATGTCAGGAATTAACATATTTCTAAAGAGGGGTAATTGATAGACTTGTGCCACATGACTTGCTTATCAGTTGGGAAATGGAAATCTGTAATTATCTGCATATTTCACGTTTTTTTTTGGTGTGTGATTTATATGCAGATTTATGAAGTGATCTGTCATGGACAATGCCACTGTTTGACTTAACAGTGAATGCAAAAAAAAACTAACTTGTGATCTCAGTAAAGTGAAGTTTGTGTTTATGTTTACTCACTGTTTGTGTTGCACTTGTCTGTTCAGACGTCTGCTTTTTGCAGCAGATGCAGCGCCTTACAGTGTCACTGCAGAATGTAGAGATACTTTCTAGAATGACCATGGTGATCTGCAAGCATCACAGTGTCATGGGGCAGAGACTATACTTTACCTTTGTCTTAAATGAAAAGTCTTGCAGTTTTTTTGTAAACAGTTCATTCTTCGTAAAATCAAGAATTTACATAACTGAAGTCTGCCGTGGACCTTATGATTACCATCGTTATTATTACGTAGCAGTGAAGGAGTGTGCGTTGGGTGGTTCTGACCTTATTTGTTTAAAGCTCTCATTAAAGGTCATCCTCAATTTCTTAGTCCATGTGGCATGTGATTTCTTAATAGTTTCAGAAGTCTGTCTGTCTTTGCAGTCTATTAAGAAGTTTAAAACAGTTGATTTCATATTTAAATATTTGTTCATCTCTTTTGCTTCCATGTCTATAAAAAGTGTTGGCAAGTCAGGTTTTTTGTTGTACGATGAAGTTATGTCAATTAATTGATCATAAAACAGGTTTTTATGGGTCAAAATAGTACATATATGTAGTTAGCATTTATGGAAGAATGTTGACTGGAGGTACAGTCTTATATGAGGTTCATCAGAACAAAACTTCTTTTCAGAAATTGGTGCGTTAATATAACGCACCCAATGATGTGCTAATTTTTCCATATTCCAAATAGGGGGAATAAGTTTTGTGGATCTCAGAACTTATCCTGTGGTCAAGTTATCAAGTTTTTCTACTTTTATGAATTGCAGAGATCATGCAGTGAGTTGCATGTTAATGGATGGATAATGTAATAATGAGTTAATTTTGAGAGGAGAGACGGACTTAACGTTAATTTTTATTTGTTCACAGAATTCACCCTCATAGGTTCATGCTACAACCACACTAGTATTTTTCACTTTATAAAAAGATTTTCTGTATAAAAATGTATTTAAATATTTCTAGTTAGCGTATTAGATGGTACTATATTCTGGTGAATTTTATTTCATAATATATGTACCTGTTCAGTGTTAACATTTATAAGATTCATAGATCTTACACTAGAATACATGATACATTTTGTATTTTGTGTTCATATAGCTTATGTAAAGATTTATTTAATTATTCTACTGTACTGATAGTAATGGAAATATAACAGTTCCAGTGTTTTATAAAGAGACTCTACTTTCTCTAAAATAAACACTGGACATTCGACAGCCACACACATATTGATTTCTGCCACCTATAAAATACACCCACACAAACAGATGTTATCCTTTAGGATCATAACAAATTTAGGTACTTCCAGAACAAGAAATTTACTAAATATAAAGTTTATTCAATATTTTATTCTTTAGAATTTGTTGCTTAAGTTTTAGTCATATTTAATTCCATTCTTAATAAAGTTAATCATTTATTATAACCAGAAACATGTCAAAGAGACGATGTCGAACAGATTGTTTTTCGTAATAATTGTAGTCGCTTTGAATATGTTACCTGTCAGAAGTGCATACTGCTGCCAGTCTTGTGACACTGTTTGGCATACCAACGCATTACTATTATCAGAAACCTACTCACCTTTTGTGTCCTTCTTGTACGAAGGTGATCAGGGTCAAAGATAATGCCCTAGTGCCTACCACCTTGCTGATAAAGGGGAAGGTCAGCTACTCTAGCCAGTGTATTGTAGTAATGAATAACTAAGAACCCCAGACATGGGTAAATATATATGGCAGCTCTGGACAGATGCAATATATTTGAAGTTACTGTATTTTAATTTTCTTGGAGGAAACATATGGTAGCCCCTTATTAATAGAATATTTTCAAAATGTAAAGTTGATCTGATTTAATTAACTTGAGTAAATGAATGGTAGTTACTTAGTGTTATGGGACCTGAGAGGTGATTGACCAAAAAAGCCATTAGACCCTATTATGAATCAGCTCATCAATACAACTATGTTTATTTCTGATATACTCAAGTCTGCGTCAGATTTTTACAAAAATTTTCCAATCAGAACTTATATTTTCTCTTGTTTGCTATGAGTTCTGCCCAACTTAGTCTTCCTAATTTTCCCTGAGACATTACAGAGTAAAAATTATTGTACCATACTTAGGTTGTTTAACATTATCAACATTTACTAAGATGTTAAAAATAATAAATAATATATTTTGTTTATATCTTAACATATACCAAGGTTTTGAATATAATACAAGAGAATGAAGGTGATCTAGAGAAAACCATGTTTCAGTTGAGTAATTTATCAATTTCACAAAATCAAAGAGTATTTTATTTCAAATTAAACATTCAATCAGCTTTAAGATAGTGTTACTTGATACAATGTTATAGCAAATTACACATTTTAACCCTTTAAGCCATTAGCCCAAGAGTATGCTTGCATCTGGAAGCGTCCTTTATCAGCAGTATCCCGAGTACGTACTCACCACTTTCAGGGACCAGAAGGAGTTAATTAGACTGATTAATGTAGAAAGAGTCTTGTGGTTTAAAAATACCAGATAGCGAGGAATGTGATGCATATATGGAAAGTGATAAAGCAGACAAGTCACTGAGCAGTTTACTACTGAAATAACCATTGATTGAAAGTAGGAAAAAATTGACAATTCATACGTCAAAAATTTCTTACTGATAGGCCATTTAAATATCGCCACCATATTATATACATTTAACTACTGAATAAAAGGGTTAATTATCTTAGCTGTGATATAACATATAACTGCGATCAATATATAAATAAAAATCTTAATAAATTTCAAAATATATTTGGGGTTATATCACAAACATTAAAAGAAAGATTACACATGAAACAGTGTTGAGTATCTACGAAGTTACGGTGGTGATGGTATTATTAAATCACAGAGAATCAAAGAGTGAAAATTAAAGATCAGAGATGCATACCAGAAATGGAGATGAAATTTCTAACCTCTGTAGTAAAATAGAATAAGTAATGAAGATATAAGAACAGATTTAGTCAGATTTTCATTGAGTTAAGCATAAAAGAAAATAGAATTAGAAGGAAAGAGGGTGTTGAAAGAATAGATAGAATCCATATTCATAAACTGTAAAATGTATGGTGGAAGACATATGGGAGAACTGAGGAAAAAAATGTAGAGCTCTGCATAAAGGAGGCCAGAACAGGCAAATGCCCACACCTTGGACTTAAGAAGACAAAGAGTGTGATGTCACCTTAAGAAGTAAATTAACAGATCTGTATGAAGGCGGTATTCTGATATGTCTGGAGAAACTGAGAAGGTGTGTGAAGAAACCTTAGACAGAAAAGGAAACCGTGAAACTGATATTTGCGCAAGACGCATTACTGATGTGCTAAGGCTCACTGTAACTTGTTTTCAAAATGAATAAAAATACGCTGTAACGCAAAATACAGAATGTACTGTCTATAGATTACGAGAAAAGCCCTGCGAGGGGAAGTCGTTTCTGGTGCGGTGCGGGGGGAATGTTTACTGTCCGGTGGACTAGAGGGCTGCTATTGGTGGGAAGTGTGACACGCCAGAGAGTTATGCTACTACAACACAGACTGAAAACATCAAGAAGTTGAGATTAGCGTGTATTGAGTGCGTCTGTACTGTGTCCTATGGGTGTTGTGATAATATTCTATGATAATCATAGGTGATTTAAAGATGTCGAGTGTACGTAAACAGGGGAAAACTATTCACAGGGAAACGCGGGAAATAATATCCAGCGTAGTGAAGCTGTGTGACTGCAAAGGATTAGGAAGGATACTGCCCACATGTGGAACAACTGGAACAACAATACTGGGAACGGGACGGGGTTGTTGCTGACGTGATCGACTCAATTATTATTGCCAATCTAAATGACAATAGCGATGACGAAGAGACTTCTTGTGAAGATGTTGAGTCTGAAGAAGCAACTGACTTTTCTGACTCCGAGCTCGCTCGGCCACTGTGAGGTAATTTTAAAGCAATACTCGTTAGAACTTATGAAAGCCTTTTGTCTGTTGTTCCTTAAACTTTATTCGTGTAACGCATTTGTGAAAAAGACATGGACACATTGTCTGAACGTTATCTGCGAGAGAAACTTTTAAAATTTCACTGAGGTTCCGGTAGATGGTAGCACCCATTCTCCAAAGCGTATGTTTTCATGAAACAGGCCAGTCGCCATGAAACTGCAGGAGAAGGCACGATGCTTGGACTGGTTTATTGAAAAGAAATCTGTTACACAGGTCCAAAGACGTTTCAGAACGACGTATCACAATACCATCGATACAAACAGCTTAAGGAGGCCGGAAGTGTTTTGCACAAGAAAGGTGCATAGAGTGCAGCGCACATGGATGGAGCTTGAGTATCGTTTGGACATTGTACGTATGACAAATGGTGCCCTTGTTGAATGCATGTAATGTTCATTATAACGTAGAGTTTCTCTTGCAGATGACCCTCTGTCTGTGTCTTTTCACAAAGGTTTTATTCTCGAGTAAAGTTGTAAAGATAATTTCTTTACACTCTGTATGCTGTAAAGGCCCTGGCATTCTGCAGTACCAGTGCAGAAGGAACTTACAAAATTGAGCAACTATACAGTAATATGTTGACTGACTGCTTTTTTATATTTTCAGTGATAACTGCTAACCTATTGTTCTTAGGTTTATAAAAATTGTGTGTAATGTCATTCATGTTTTGATATGGCAGGTAACACAAAACAATACAAAAAATTCTGTAACACTGCCAGTTTCAGTATTACTGGTATTACATGGGGGTGAAGAAGAAAGATGCAACAGAGTCAGTAATGGAAATGAAGTTCTTGGATGTACACAAATGGATAGGAGTAAAATGATGAAATGTAAGTAGAATTAGAAATATTCTAAAGAAGATGAATGGAAGGAATATAGGTGATTAGGATATTTGCATAGTTTAGAAGACACCCAAATCAAGCTTACCTTCATACACAGGAAAGTAGAACAGAATACTCACTTTCCAAAAAAAAGGGACGGGATGTCGTAGCCAGAACAGGAAGGTCTCCTGTATCCTGAAGTTAAGACGGTGTTTTGAGATGGAGCATTTTCACTTGTTGAAAAGTGTCACTGGTATGAACTTCTGAAGCTGTGGTTACAAAAGAAGTAGAAAGTGGCCTTAGTTTATGTTCTTTCAGGACTTCTGTACATAATTACAAGATTCTGATTATTGTTTGGAGACAGCACTGAGAAATTATATGATCCATGTGGCTGTGGGTGTGTGCTATCAGTCTGCGTAGAATGGATGGTCAAATTACATTGCTGTTGGAGCAGCGTGATAAAATTTGTTCACTGATATTTGTGAGCTTCAGGTTCATGTGGTTGAGAAAGAGTTATTTACTCTAAAATGTAGTTATAATAATTTCTCTAAAAAGTGTTTTTGTATCCGTAAATTCAATTCTTCTTGAATTTCTGAAAATTGTTTTCTGATAATATTTTATTTGGCAGACATGTAATGGTATAAATATAAGAATGAATACTGTTTATTCAGAACTCATCTTATGTAACTGTGGTGAAAGTTCTCATGAGGTTGCACCTGCAAAATTTTATTTTTAATGCCATTGTACTGACCCAGAAATTCTCAGGTCTGGTAACTTGTATATCTGCATTATATGTAGTGGAGTGGTGTAAGATTTATACAGGTACTGGGGATTGAATGCCAGCCAGTTCTGATGCATGTTGTTATACCAAGAGGTAATTGAACTTTAGCTTTGCAGATGTACTAATGGAAGTTCATGTAAGTTTAACACAAGATAACATGCCATTTAAGTTTGCATATGATTCTTTGAACAGTGATTATTTCACACACTCAGCTTATGATTGCAACATGTTAACCTTTATTATGTAGGAAGAAGGAATAATCCCTTCAGCTTCACAAAATATTACAGTGGAGGATGAGTTGGGTATGGAATGTAACATGCATAGAATACTTGAGAAATACATACAAAATTGTTGTCAGAAAATCTAAGAAAAGTACCTGTAGCTGGAAGGATAATAAAAAATTGATTTTAAAGAAGCATATTTTTAGGGTTTGGGCTAGATTCATGTGAACATTATAATGAAACTATTGGATTTCATAAAAGGCAGAGAGTTTTTTTGAGTAGTTGAGTAACTATTAGCTTTACAAGAATATTGTGCTTGATTATAAAAATTCAGATTTTTTTTATGGTTTCAAACACGTGTATCTTCAGGCGTGTGTGTTTGTGAATGTAGTATAATTACATTTTCTGATTCGTACAGAGCTAGAACATTTTTTAGGGTGCACTCACATGACTGAGTACAAATTTCATGTTTTTATAAATGACGGAAACCTCTTTAAGCCTCTTCCCAGAAATGTTGGCTGGACTGCTACAGTCATAATTTGGTGCATCCCTGGATCAGATATTTCATGTTTCATTTCTGATGGTTTGCTGCAGCTGCTGGGAGGATGCGATACTTGACACCTGCTCCGCCCCTCCAGAGCCTGGCTTGCTGCCTTAGTGCTCAACTTTCAGTAGTGAGTGAGAGGCTCCAGAGGTGAGTTGTGGTTATGTTAATAGAATATCAGAATCAAATCCAACCCTATGAATTGAAAGTTTAGGTTGTCTAGCTAATTTGGACAATACTTTGTGTGGTGTGCAAGTCAGGATAAACTGTTTCACTGTGACCTTTGTTTGGAACTCCACATAATATTAAAATAGCAGCCTCACACGTTTTCAGCCAACTGGGGGTTGATACTTTTTTCGAATACCCAAGTTTTGTGTTCATTCTCTAAAATTGGAGTGTGGTATTTAAGTTTTGAATGCTTTAAAAGTGCATTATAGCATATATTTTACAAATTTTTGTGTTTTTTATGTGAAGTTAGAAAAAAAAGGTTGCATTCATCATATGCGCTGATTTAAACCACTGAATGCCGTTTCACTTGCTGCTGCTAATTATTTAGTTGGAGATTTATGGGTTTTTTTATCTTCTAAAGTACTGGGCTAAACCAAAATGTGTTCAATGTTTATAATTCTAGTTCTAATTTTTATGATGTAATAAAAATCTGTTATTTTACACTGAGTTACTTTTGACTAATTAGACAGAAAATAGTTGAAGCTGACATATTTAACATAAAATATTCATTGTATCTAAAAAAATTTAAAGATGTAAGCAAGATTCTTATTTTATTTTAAAAGTTGATGAATAAAATTATACAAAAGAATGTTGTGAAACAGATGAACTGTCCATAATGAATAAATTTTTATGTTCACGGTAAAGCAGTGCATTGTGCTGTAAAATGGCATCAGAAAACAAATCACTGTTGTAATGACACTTCATTGTTTCTAAACTTAAACATAATTAATATTGTTGCAGTTGTTATGTAGAGTTTGGTAGCTGGAAGCCGTTAGTGTGTTTCCCTCAGGGGCCAAACCTAAATCTTTCCCACTATTAATTGCAGACAGAGTTAATTATGGATGCGTGTGTGTTTGTGTTTCTTATCTTAGCTCCTTCTTGCCTTTTGAGAAGTGCAAATTTATTTTAGCAGTACTCATCTAATTGTTATACTCTGTGATGCAGTTTATGTGATGAAAGTTTTATTTTTTGTCGAGATATGCTATTTGTAAGTATTACAGCATGACTTCAATCTAATAGCAGTTGTTTGTAAGAGTATCATTTTTCAGTGGTTGAAGTGTGTTGAGGTTAAACTATCTAAAATCATTAGTTATTGTTCAGATTATTGAAGTTAATTCCAGTATTGTTTATGGAAGGTCAAACAATATGAATAGTGTAAATTATAAATAATATAGAATATATTGTACAATATGATATAGGATATAATATAGCAAATAGTATGGAACTTTTAAATTTGAAAAAATACATATGTACGTACGTACATACATGCATGTGCACGTACAGAGACTCTCCCCCTATATTCCATGGATCCATAAGTTAGTCAATTGAGAATTGGGTGGAATAAGTTGTAATAGTGCAATACATATTTTTAAGTACAATTCATACAATTATAGAATTTACACATATTATAAACAAGGTTCTGTTAAAGTAGTAACAAATACATCCACCCATTACATAAAATAGATTACACTACCCATTTTTATTATGTGAAGAAAAGAAAACCGTAATGAACATTATGACTTATTTGCAAACATTAGAAATTCATGAACAGAATAAAAGGAACAAGGACCTCTGAAACATTCACAAAATTCTGCCAGACTCCACAATGCTACAACCAAGAAGACAGGCATTCTTTTCTTTTCTTTTGTTTTATCTGTCTTAAGGATGGCTTATTGGTAGTAAACGATGTACTTATATGAGAGAAAACTGTGATATTGCATGGAAGTCATCAAAAGTTTTACTATAAATGATGACGTTCCCATCAGGAGGAAATATTATTGGTTCTGTTAAGGTATTTATCAAACTTCTAGACCACCAAGTTCCAGATTGTGAAAGTAAGCCATCTGCCATGTTTGAATGGGATCTTGGTTGACGTGGGGTTCAAACTCGTTTCCTCCCAAGAAACCGGTAAGATACATAAACTTAAAAATAATGTATTTGGTAACAAGTTTGGTGTTATGCATATGACTTGTGTTGGCAGGACTGATGGTGAGCATACACCATGTTTGGGTGCATCTGGGCTGTCTTGTTGCCAGCACTGCTTCCTTTTCTAGAATCAAGAGGACAAGTTGTTTTTGATACACAGTACGTTTGTGGGAATTTTATTAATGTGAATGAATTTTTTTTTCATACAGACGTGTAAATGATATTGACAGGCAAATTTTATTTTCCATCATGTTAAAAGATGTCATTAGTATTTTAGGATGAAGTTGGGAGTTTAGAAGCTAAGAGGGATTATGAGGGGAGTGGGGGAAAGGAACATACCCTCTATGTAGGGGAAATGAAGATGTTAAGCTTATATTGCTAAGCCACCCAGGAACAAAAAATGGAAAATCCAGTATACTATTTAGAAGTGGTTATGTGTAAATTAGGAACTATAACAGTTTTTAGCCGAATTGGCGGCTGAAGCGTGCACCAATCGCATGTACTGTGCCATGGTAGGAAGCAGTGGTGGTGGGTGGAAGGGCGAGATCGTGAGGAAACAACATACAGTGGTGCCAGATGTAGCATTGCTGGATTCCACAACACTATGCAAAGAACATGTAAGAATTGGCAACAACGCAGTGAAGCTACCGAAACCACGGGATTTCTGAACAGACTGAGGTCTAGCTGCTTACCAACAGACCTTCTTTGCGCTGATTGGTCACTCACAAAGAGCAGAACTCGACTCAGCCGCCAATTCCACTGAAAAATACTATAGTGTGCAGGAAAACAGTAAACTGTATAAATAGAAAACATATGGTACATTTAGGAGATTATTTAGACAGAGTTAAACACAACTGGGAATGTAAGGTGAGGAAATGTGATAGATAATATTCAGCTTTTATTAAATGTAAAATTGTATATATGGATAGTCTGTACACTGAGGTAACCACATGTTAAATGGTGTTTTGTCTCACAATAATTTGTGTTTGAAAACATGACTCAACACGAATTGTAACTGAACTGCTTCTCATCTGGCAGTTTTGTTACTGGTACCTGTTTTGGATATTTGAAACCATGATCTATAATTGTACCAAGTTTTATTTCCTTCTTTGCACTCATATCTGGATCAGAACTGTTCTTGCATTCTGTAAGATGTGACATTTAGGAGATAATGTTATTTAAAAGTGAAGCATGAGTGTGATGTTGAATTTTGAGTATATTATTAACCAAATGTCAGTACATCTTTTGGTGAAAATGACAAATGTGTATGAGCTGTCGGATTAAATTAAATGAGGTATGAAAATGGACATTTTTCACAATTTAACAGAATTATATCCTGTTTTACTTAACTCCTCACCGCCGAGAGGCGTAAAATTACGCCCGGCATTTAAATGCTCGGGATTGCAGCTGGGCGTAAAATTACGTCCGGCTTTAAGCCTAATTTCTTCAGCTCATAACTTTGTAACGATTAATGCCAGCGCAATGAGGTTTGTAGTATTCTGTTGTGGAAAGTTTTCTGTGTGTGAAGATCCGGCAACGTTGTTGACAAACCCTTGAACGACTACCTGGGAGTCTAAAAATAGACGACTGGCCTCAGTTTTACAATTGAGAACCCTTCAAGCAGTCGTGTGTTATTTGATGCTGAACAAAGGGCACTTCTAGACGAATTATTGGAAGTGACAATTATAGTAGCTCGGACACTGAGAGTGTAGACTTTGAATATACACAGTTGGTGACACCGGGAACGTTAGCGATTAGT